CTTTGGCATTTTCTTCCAAAACAGGCCTGTTTTGTCACAATTGAACACTTGTTGTGGTTTGAATTTTTCAATCTCTCCATACCCCTTAATCCGTTAACTCTCCAAACGTAGATCTATGTTTATGCATGTAGTGCTCCGACCTTGATTTTCTCCATTTGAAAGCATGTAAAAAAAAGTAGATCTACGTTCAGAGCACTACACGAGCAAACAGATCTCCGCTTGGACAGTTAATGGGTTAAATTCACTCAGAAATTTTCAGCTGCATGCTCGTCTGAACTTGCTGCCTCCCCATAGCTTACCACACTGTGTATGCCACTACACTTCTAAGCCCGTAAACGGTCAAACGTATATATACGTTCACTACCCCAGTGCCCCGAATATTTTGAAAAATAAAATTGTTTCTTTTTTTGAAAAAAGAGCACATTTTTCTAAGTGTTATAGGATAAAAAAAAAATTTAGTCAGTACTTACCGAGATATGAGGCCACAAAGTTGGCACTTGGGGATCACCTGACGGCAACATGGAGCGCTGCCACTTGCAAAAGTGTTACCGATATACCTCTTTTTCTATTTTTAATATTATTTTATATAATTTTCATGTTCTGATAATTACAATTTGTAGTAGTTCTTGTCATTTCATAACCAATCTTTGTTCCAACACTAGTATTAGGTACTAAAATTGTCACAAACACACTGACAGTTGGACATTTACACCTGCCTTGGCCATTTACTATTGTCTTGGAATATATACAAAGTATTTATATGTCCCAGCAAGGTTTTGGAGCAGCAGCAGCAGCTGCCGCTGCCGCCGCCACCAGCCAGCCAGTCATCCAGCTAGCCAGCCAGCCAGAATTGTTTCTCCTGACTTAGGCCATAGATTATAAGACATTCAGAAAGGGTGTTGCACAAATATTGCACATTGGTTATTATCGAGGTTTTTGATATTTCCTCGATCACTTGTGGCTACATCCACCTCAAAGCCACTAAACTCAGGGTCAAAATCACTTTCCTCTTAAAATGGGAGTGTTAATACTACATGACATCAGTGAATCCCAGGTGTTTGCTGCGCTGTTTGCTCTAGCTGGCGCTCATTTGAACTGGTGCTCCCACAAGATACTAAGTGGTCCCAGATTTTTTTAATACCTCACACATTGAGTGTTAGGACCCATTCTCTGCTGACAAGGCATCTCGGGCCAATCGTGCCAAATTTGAAGGCAGGAAAAATAAAACGTATATAGTATATACGTTTACGTTTGGGGCGCTAGCAGTAAAAACGTATACATGTATATACGTTTGGACCATTTGTGGATTAAATCTGTCAAACCAGCCTCTGCTGGCCTCAAATTCACCAATATCATCACTGGTTCCAGGAATTTTGTTTATCAGATCGGCATGTAACTGCCTTGCATTCTCACAAATGATTGACTCTGAAACACTACCATCCGCTATCCACACCACCAACAATTCTCAACCTCTTCGACTGTTTGTGATCTATTTTTCAATAACATGACAACACCTTTCGCAACATCAGCTTCCTTGAGTTCTTTTCTCTTTGCGAGGATAGAAATGGTAGTTGATTTGTTTTTGCTGTACATCCTGGCAAGTTCCCTCACACAAGCACCACTCTTGTATTTTTCTACTATCTCCTTCTTCACTGCTATGTTGTGCCTCACTTTCTTAACCACAGGGCCCATGGTAGCTTATTTCACAGTCACAATTACCTGGCTGGCTGGCTGGCTGGCTAGCTAGCAGTCGGTTAGTCGGTCCAGGGTAATGTTCACTCAAGGATAAACAATGCTAGACTGGCTGACGATGCCTGGGCAGGCAGATCTGGTACACCTACCGAAACGTGGGACAAAATTTGGCTGAAAAAAGTGGGCGAAACTCGAAGTGGTCGATTCACAGGGTGGCTGAAACCCGGGGTTTCACTGTGACCGATCTTGTAACTCAATTTGCTCGTAAATCAAATCAATTTTCCTCATTGAAATTATTTGAAATGGCAGTAATCCATTCCAGTCCCCAGAAACCAAACCAATTTTTTGTTACCGGTTTTTAACCCTTTGACTGTTTCCGACGTATAAATACGTCTTACGAGCCAATGTTTCTGACGTATTTATACGCATAAATTCTAGCAGCTTCAAATCAAGCAGGAGAAAGCTGCTAGGCCCACATGTGAGAGAATGGGTCTCCATGGTCAGTGTGCACCATATAAAAAAAATCGGGGAGCCAGTGGTGCATTGTGGGAATGCCATTTCAGTTGTCATTTTTCAGCATGTCTAGTGGTAAGAAATATGTGATTCCCCAGCAAATCTGGGACTCTTCTCTTCCCAAGTGATGCTCTAACACAGATGGAAGTGTCAGTGAAGATCAATTTCATGATTTGGAGGAGTTTGAGACCAAAAGCAATGGAGGAGGAGGAGGGGAGGAAGAGGAGGAGGAGGAGGAGGAGGAGGGAAGGAGGAGGAGGAGGAGGAGGAGGAGGAGGAGGAGGAGGAGAAGAGGAGGAGGAGGAGGAAGAAGAAGATGTAATAATATTGTTCCTTGAAGCAAGAAAAAAAAAAGTCCACCCCATGACAGTGACAAGATAAGGGGAGATAACATCTGATAAGAGCTGACTTTGATGAGCGTAAAGGAGGGTAATATTACATGACCATCGCCTCCCTTTGTTTTTGCTGGTACACAAACATTTCTGTCTGTCTATTTGTCTGTCTGTCAAGCTCCCTGTCTGTCCATCTAGCTCTCTGTCTCAGAGAGAGCCACAAGACTGTGTCATCACGTTTACTCACATCTTCAAGCAGAGTATAGCACTTCGTTTGGATTTCTTGGGTTATCCTAGGTAATTTACACTATGTATACTTGTATTTATGTGTACCTGTGAGACAGAGATAGGCAGACAGATAGAAAGAGAGACAGATTGAAAGATATAGAATGAGGGAGAAAGATAATTAGATAGAATGGAGGAGGGGAAGCAGCATCCGACCCATTGTTTTGACAGGCGGTAGGGGTAGTGACTAATGAGACAATATGTCACTTTGACAGCTGCCGACTCCTGACTCAAAACAATTATAAGCCACACACTCGCACAGAGGAGGAGGAGGAGGAGGAGGAGGAGGAGGAGGAGGAGGAGGAGAAGGAGGAGAAGGAGGAAGAGGAGGAAGAGGAGGAGGAGGAGGAGGAGGAGGAGGAGGAGGAGGAGGAGAAGGAGGAGGAGGAGGAGAAGGAGGAGGAGGAGAAGGAGGAGAAGGAGGAGAAGGAGGAGGGAAGGAGGAGGAGAAGGAGGAGAAGGAGGAGAAGGGGAGGAGAAGGAGAGGAGAAGGAGGAGAGGAGGAGGAGAAGGAGGAGGAGAAGGAGGAGGAGAGGAGAAGGAAGGAGGAGGAGGAGAAGGAGGAGGAGGGAGAAGGAGGAGGAGGAGAAGGAGGAGGAGGAGAAGGAGGAGGAGGAGGAGGAGGAGAAGGAGGAGGAGGAGAAGGAGGAGGAGAAGGAGGAGGAGAAGGAGAAGGAGGAGGAGGAGGAGGAGAAGAGAGAAGAAGAAGGAGGAGAAGGAGAGAAGGAGGAGAAGGAGGAGAAGGAGGAGAAGAAGAAGAAGAAGAAGAAGAAGAAGAAGAAGGAGGATTGTTTGTTTGTTTGTTTGTTTGTTTTTGTAAACAAGTTTTGTAAACAATATATTGATAATTATGTTTGTGTGCTTATTGTGTTGTATACAACGAGTGTATTATATACATTGCACCTTACTTTGGTCTCATAGGCCACATAAGTTATGTGAAAAAATAAAATAGTGAAAAAAACAAAAAACCTTCAATTACAAGTAAACTAAAGTTTACCTGGTGAGCGGCAGTCGCCGCTGTTGCCATACGCGGCTCATTTTCTGCAAACTTCACGGCTCTATATCTCGGTAAGTACCGATGGCAAAAATTTTTTTTTTGGACTAAAACACTCAGAAAAATAATCTTAACATTTTCATAAGAAAAAATAATTTTTTTTTTTTTGAATATTTGGCGACATAGAATGACAGTTTCAGAGAGGGGCCTGAAACAGTCAAAGGGTTAAATAAGAAAAATGTATTTATAAATAAGAAATATTGTATAAAAATATAAAAGAGAATGTAAAGAAATAACCTGGTTTTATAAAGTGTATTTACCTTGGAGATCAGGAACTGTCTGGGAACATTTGCTTATATCGGTGGAATTCTTGAGTCTCGAGGGGCAGGAGAAAATACCTCCATATAACACTAATATCAACTCTACTGCTTATTTATCTATCAGAATTGATATAATATGACATAATAAACATTTTAAATAACATAGAAACATGATATGCTTGGACTGGTTATAAATAACATAGAAACGGGTTATAAATACAGTAAAATAGAAAAATGATATGCTCGGATTGGTCCAGGACCAGTCCAAACATATAAAATCATTACTCTCCTTTTAAAAATGTGTTCTTTGGTCCTGGGTAAGAGAAAACAGAGTTTTTGAGAGGCTAACTGCATTAGATCACTAGTTTCATGAGGACAACACTGAAAAGCCATTTTCTCAGAAAATTTTATTTTTTTCCCGAGATGCGTTCCTGGTGAATATCTCGGAAATTAGTTATGTATTGACTTATTTCATGTCAATAATATTATCTCCTGTCAATAATATTGACAGGAGTCATAAAAAAATGATTGTTCTAAAATTGGCTTGTGGAATATTGGAAATATTCCAGATATTTTGGGATTTGTGTGGGAGTAAAGGTCAAGATATTTTGCAAATGTCAAAAACTTAGCAACTTTATTTTATCGTAGAATAACTAGATAATTACATAATTATCTTCAGTGAGAACATCGCACTAGCATTGTTTCATAAATACATACCAAGCCCCAAAACCACCTTTCATTTTGCCATTTAGGCCTGGGTTATGCCAAATGTCATTTTCAGTAAATATTTTTTTTTTCTTTGGGTAAAATAGCAGCACAAAATGCAAGCACAGCACAAGAGAGATGCTTCCACAGCTGGTAACCACGTGCACTGAACGAGTGAGATGCGGGATGCTGGGCGGATGTTGTGGCGTTTGCTGCACCAACTAGTGGCGGCATTTCTGAAGCTCGTAACTCGGATTTTGGCTTGCAACTCAAAGCAAAAAATCAACCGAGTGACGGCTTGTAACTCAGAAAACTCATAAGTTGGGGCACTCGTAAGTCAAGGTACCACATTATTATGTTAATACAGTTGAACCCCGAGTTTTGTCCTTAATCCGTTCCAAGAGCTAGGACTAAAGTCAAAACCTCCACTTACACTAGTGGATGGTCCCACTGTGATCCCGCCGCCTCCTGCTTTGACTCGCTTGACTGCAGTATATAAGCCACCTCTCTGGCCCTATGCTGTACTTCCTACAAGAGTGATGGACTGAACACATTGATTCCAAGCTGAGGGACTGATTACCTCAGACTCCTCCATTCCTTATACTTTCCTGCTTTGTATTGGACTGATGAAGCCACTGTGTGGCAAAACGTTTCTTCAATAAAGATTCCCATATGTTGCATAACTGTCTCAATTCTTCAACTTGTTGGTTTTTAAAACCATTTATTACATCTGTCAGACACTGCAACATCATGGAATCTTGATACAAAGAATTCTTCAACTCTTGTCCAACCTTTGGACGAAGACCTACTTACACTAGTGGATGGTCCCACTGTGATCCCGCCGCCTCCTGCTTTGACTCGCCTGACTGCATTATATAAGCCACCTCTCTGGCCCTATGCTGTACTTCCTACAAGAGTAATGGACTGAACACATCAATTCCAGGCTGAGGGACTGATTACCTCAAACTCCTCCACTCCTTATACCTTCCTGCTTTGTATTGGACTGATAAAACCACTGTGTGGCAAAACGTTTCTTCAATAAAGATTTCCATATGTTGCATAAGTGTCTTAATTCTTCAGTACCTAGTTCTATTGCTAACCTAATATATGTTAATGTACACTTGTTATCTGGCATTTATATGCATTTATAAGTGGAAAAAATGGCGTTCCACTTTCCAGCGATGCCCGCTTTCTGGCATTAGCCTGGAACCTAACCTGCCATATAAGTGAGGCCCTACTGTATGTACATTTGCCATATGGGATATATTGTTATTACATCCACAGGGGAGTGCTTAACCCAAATTGGTTATGCATCTCCTGGGATAATGGAAACCATTCAGGCTCTTTTTAAGGAATTGGAGAATTGTCCCAATTTTTTAAATCAAGAGTCCTCAGCATCATTAAGGACATACAGGATACAGACTTGTAATCAGGTACAGTGGAACTCTGGATTTCGTACTCACCAAATATCATTTTGGATATAGACCACTTTTTTGGGCAAAATTTTGGTCCAGATTTTGTACCTCCACCTGGAAATCGTATGTATCAGACGCATCCATCCGTTCAGGAAGCCACCACTCATGTGTAAGTGTCTCAGTCTGGCTCTGTCACTGGTCGAGTGAGCATTACTTCGTGCTTTCATCCAAAACATTTCGTAATAATCCATTTTTTTTTTGCTTAACTATTGAGTGCAACTGCGGAATAAGCCACCATGGGTCCAAAGAAAGTTCTTAGTGCCAGCCCTTTGGTAAAGAAGGTGAGAAACATGATAGAATTCAAGAAAGAAATTGTAGAAAAATACGAAAGTGGCGTACGTTTAGCCTAGCTTGCCAGGATGTATGGGAAGTCGAAATCAATAATTTGTTCTATCATGGCCAAGAAAGTAGAAATCAAGGAAGCTAAAGTTGTGAAAGGGGTAAATATGCTAACAAAACAGAGATCACAAACAATCGAAGATGTGGAAAAGTTGTTTTTGGTGTGGATCAATCATTTGTGTTGTGGAATCGATCATTTGCGAAAAGGCAAGGCAGTTGCATGTGGAGCTTGTAAAGAAAATGCCTGGAACGAGTGCTGATGTTAATGAATTTAGGGCCAGCAGAGGCTGGTTCAACAGATTCAAGAAGCGTAGTGACATACACAGTGTTGTAAGGAATGGTGAGGCTGCATGTTCAGACAAACGTGCAGCTGAAGAATACGTTGCTGAATTTAAGGAGCATGTAGAGGCTGAAGCATCTGTCCCCCAACAAGTGTTCGATTGTGATGAAACAGGCCTCTTTTGGAAGAAAATGCCAAAGAGGATCTACATCACACAGGAGGAAAAGGCACTGCCAGGACACAAGTCTATGAAGGCTAGGCTAACTTTTTTGTTCTGTGGTAACACTAGTGAGGATTTCAAAGTGAAGCCTTTACTGGTGTATCACTCTGAAAATCCCCGAGTGTTCAAGAAAAACAATGTCGTCAAGAGTAAATTGTGTGTGATGTGGAAAGCTAATAATAAGGCATGGGTCACGAGGCAAATTTTCATTGACTGGGTCTATGAAGTGTTTGGACTAAGTGTGAAAAAAATACCTCCTGGAAAATAATTTGCCACTCAAGTGCCTCCTGGTACTGGACAATGCTCCTGCTCATCCTCCAAACGTGGAAGACCTATTGTCTAGGGACTTCAGTTTTATAACAGTTAAGTTCTTGCCTCCTAACACCACTCCTTTCCTCCAGCCCATGGACCAACAGGTCATTTCTAACTTAAAAAACTCTACACAAATGCAATGTTTCAAAGGTGCTTTGAAGTGACCTCGGACACTGAATTGACCCTAAGAGAGTTCTGGAGGAATCACTTCAATATCCTCCATTGCATAAGCCTTATAGGCAAGGCTTGACAGGGAGTAACTTCCAGGACTTTGACCTCTGCTTGGAGAAAATTGTGGCCAAAATGTGTACTCATCAAGGATTTTGAAGGGTTTGAGGCTGACCTTGATGACCCTACGCTTGTTGTGGAATCTATTGTGTCTTTGGGGATGTCTGTGGGGTTGGAGGTGAGTGGCCAGGATGTGGAAGAGTTGGAGGAGGACCACAGGGACGAGCTAACCACTAAAGAGCTGCAAGACCTTCAACTGGAACAGCAACAGACCAGAGGTGAGGAAATTGCTTCAGAGGAGGAGGAAGAGAGGGGAAAAATGTGCCCTCTTCAGTAATTAAGGATGTGTGCAAAGTGGAATGAGTTGCAAACTTTTGTGGAAAAATATTACCCTGACCAAACTGATAGAAGCCATATCTGCAACATGTTCACTGATAATACCTTGTCCCATTTTAGGCAAATCTTAGAAATGCCAGAAACAGAGCTCTCTGGACAGATTTTTAGTGCAACAGGGGTCCAGTGCGAGTAAAAGACAAAGAAGGGAAGTAACTCCGGATAGAGCTTTGATACCTGAAGTCCAAACAGTAAGCTCTCCTCTCTCTTCCCTCCTCGCTTTCTTCCATTAGCCAACAAGAGTCTTCAATAAAGGTATGTAATAGTGATTTAAATGTTCATTTATCCATTTAATTAGTGCTTTATATTTATTTCTCATCGTTTTCTGTATGTAAATCTATAGTTATTCTTTAAAAAATGTATTTTTTGTTAATATTTTTTGGTGTCTGGAACGGATTAATTGTATTCACATTATTTCTTAAGGGAAATATTACTTCAGTTTTCATATGTTTTTGATTTAGACTTACCTGGAATGGATTAAGTACAAAATCTGGAGTTCTACTGTATTATTTCAGTTATGTTCTATCCAGTGACTATTGTTTCTTATGCAGTCTGCAAATGTATTTGTGCAAGATTTTTTTATTTAGCAAAGATCTGTGCATTTTTTACACTTCATGTTTTACCAAATCCCTTGAAAGGCAACTAGAAGGAATATTTTCAGCTGAAATCCCTGAATGATGTGTTCATAACAGACCAAGCTTTGGAACATAACTGACCATGCTTTGGAACATAACTGACCATGCTTGGGAACATAACGGACCATGCTTGGGAACATAACAGACCATGCTTTGGAACATAACAGACCATGCTTGGGAACATAACGGACCATGCTTGGGAACATAACGGACCATGCTTGGGAACATAACAGACCATGCTTTGGAACATAACAGACCATGCTTGGGAACATAACGGACCATGCTTGGGAACATAACAGACCATGCTTTGGAACATAACAGAACATGCTTTGGAAAGAGTGGCAAACATGTCTCATAAAACTATCTTTGTAGGACTGATATAGCTTAGAAAATAAATATTATAACTATTTTTTATTTAGTTTTTTAGATTGTATACTGTACCTAATCATTCATCCAAAACAACACTAGGTTGGTAGGGATATATTTTAAGGTAATGAATAAAATGAAAGTGTGGGGTACCAAACTTATAGGAAAACTGAACCTTAAAATATTTTACGTACCATACAGTACATAATTTTATGTGAAAATGGTCTGTTGGTCTTTATTCTTCATATTTTTTGGAATTTACACATAAAATCTCTTCATTCTTTTTTCCAGGAGTTTCAACTGAAGTGTGAACTGTGGACCATGAATGACCTAAAAAAGCGGTCAGACTGCAGTGTTGAGAAGTTAGAATCCCTGAGTGCAGTCTTCTCAAAGAGGGTTAGTCAGGAAACTTTGTTTATATTTGCAATGTAAGAACAGGATAATTGCATAGCTTTACACACTTCACTACCAACTATTCTTCTTCCCTTTTGATAACTGTTGTACAATTGCCATTACTAATAAAACTGATGTTATAACTATGATTGAGATTCTGGAAGGTGTACCTTATAAGCTATGGTTCAATTACAAAGGGGAAAAACTAATACAGTCCCCCCTCAAAAATGGAGATGGTTCTTTAGCACTAGTAAAAAATTAGCATATGCAAGTGAAGAAAAGGGGAAAATAGGGCTTGTTTCTAACACAGTCAAATCTTGGGTTCGAACTTAACTTTTCCCACTGTCGGTCCCTAATTTTGGTTGAAAAGCCAGTGTGGGGCCCCCGTAATACTGCGCCAAAATTCTAGCGCCTTCAGATTGGGGGGAAAAAAAGTGGTAGGCCTACATATGAAAGAATGGGTCGTATGCCTTCAAGCAAGCAGAAAGCCCACTCCAAGCTGCCAGGACAAGAAAGGCGCCGCATTTTACAGCCCCTGACCCCCAGCTGTCACGTATATTTTACAGTGCTGCGGGCGTACCATGTTTTTCCGAAGTGGTTATTAAGAAAAAATTTTTTTAACGAGCAGCATACAAACTTTTTAAGTGGGAATGCCAGGGTTCACCAAAAATTAAAAGTTTGTGCTAAGTGCATTCCCCACAAGGGAAATTCGTTGTCATAGTGTCTAGAAGTGTTAAGTGTGCGGGTTTTTGAACTATTTGCCGAGGGATTTCACTGATTTAGGACTTGTGCTCCATCAGAAACCTACTAGGTTTAAAATGATGAGGAATTCGGCCTGCGGGGTGACCTTAAAAAAAGGCATATAAGATCCGCATGCCACTTAAAACCATACTGCTGGGGTCTATGAGGTAATGCCCCCTTCACTTTCTATTCACGGTATCCTTAGCTCGTCGCCATTATCTACAAAAGGGATTAAGGCGATTTTACCGACCCGGGATAAACAGCCCCCAACCAGCCATGAAGGCCAAGTTACATGCAGTTACATCTGTTCTGAACCCCAAATCCCTTTGTGTGTTCTACATGCCCGGGGCCGTCCCTTCGGTGTTGTGAAACTCTTGTGTGTAAAGTTGTGCTGGGGAAAAAACCCAGTAAACACTCGAATTGTTTTCCTTTTTAAAAAGGCTGTACGGGGTTAACCCCCTTTGGAGATGGCTTTTTAACTGTAAAAAGCCAGAGGTTCATTTTTTAAAACTTTTAAAGTTTGTGTGATTTGTTTGCCACAGTGAAAATTTTTCGCATTCCTAGACAGTGTGCTAGCGTTTTTAAATTGCTGTGGTTTGGGAATTAACAAGTAGTCAATTTGGGAAAACTCTCGAGACACGTGGCCCCGTGAAGACCTTGAAAATCCACTGCGACCCGCAGGCCACTACCCCATATTCCCTGTGTCTAGCGGGTGAATTCCCCTTCCTTGTCCCTTTATTCACCGGTATCCTTAGCCCATTGCCAGTGTGAAACTCCTGTCACTATGAGTATAGCTATGGTTTTGACGTAGATGGTGAAGGCAATTTGAAACAAATTTTAGTAAACGGGCTAAAAAAAAGAACAGGCTTCCGGGAGAAAGTTGTAAAAAGAAATACAGTGGGCACACACCCCCCAAAAAGTGCGGGTTAGATTTCCCTAAAAACCCGATCAAGAAAACCAAGTGAAAACTGGTTTTTCGAAGTAGTATAGACAACCAAAGAAAACGACCCAAGTTGCCCACGATGGGATAACCGTTTTTGTGCCAAATGAATCGCATTTTTAGACAAACTTTACCTCGGAATTGCCAACATAAAAACTCCGAGCAGCCCCACCAAGGGCACATAAAGGCTTATTGTCATTATAACGTCAACAAGCACTTGATCCTCAAATCTGGTTCAGAGAAGTTGCAACCCCTCGTCGATTTCCAAGGTGATTTGCTAGGGGACTGGCCAGGGGCCTTGTCACGCTATATTCACTCCCGCGCGGGCCCTAATAGACGCTATTACTTTTCTTTGGGTACAGCCACCTAAAACGGGTTTTTTAAAAGTGTCAACGGGGGGGCCACATGCCGGGAAATGCCATCAAGTCACACTGGTGTGCAGTGTGTGTCAATCTCATCCTTCGAACAGTGTTTGTAAAAATAAAAGCAACAGACTTTTTCTGAACAATGTTAAATTGTAAGCCCTCAAGTCCAGCAGTCATACTGCGCAGTGTGAGGGCTGAAACGCACGCACCCCAACCGCACTTCACCCTGTCCCCCAATTTACCCCCCGGCTACCAGGTACCTCGAGTTTGAATACTGGTCAGGGGCCTCCCTCAGACAATGGGTTGAGCACCCACCTGGGGAGCACGTCAACAACCCCCCACTCGGTGTCAGTACGCCTATTTGAGTCGCGGACATCAGCCAAAAGCTCAGTGCCGGGGAAACTTCACTCTCCGATTTTCCAAGTCTTGCTCCTGGGGTATAAAAACCAGTCGGCAAAAAGTAGGGAAACACAAAAATTTTTCCCTGAAACAAAAAATTGAAAAAAAAAGGAAGATTGTAAGTTTACCAATAACAAGATTGTCACAATTTGTGAAAGCAAAGTATAAGGTTGCTGAAAAGGGGTGGGGGGTTTTAATTCAGAAATGACGAATTAATCTTGTTTTGATAACTGTAGTGGGATCATAAGAAGGTTTGGTGTCAATGATGTTAAAATAGTGATGACCAAATATAAGTGGTGGTAAAGAGTGTGATAGGGCAATGGTTCTTAATTTAGTAATAGTGATGACGTAATAAAAGTGGGGGTGAAGAGTGTGATGGAGGGCTGGGTCTATAAGTTAGTAGTAGTGATGGGAAATTAAAAGTGGGGTGAAAGTGTGTGAGAGCGGGGGTGTCAAAGTTATAATAGTGAGACATAATATAAGGGTGGTGCAGAGTGTGTAGGTTAACCAATAGACATTAACGTTGAATTAATACTTTTGAAAAATGTAATGAACACAATGTTGTAGTGGCGGGTGATGACATTTTGTAGTGTTGGTATAATGTTAGTGGGGAGGGAATTGAGTGGGGGTGTCACCTATAAAATTTCCCCAAACATAAAAACGGGCTCTGGGTTTCGAAGACTCCCACGAGGCCTTACCTGGAAGTGCACTTACAAAACTCATGGACAAGGGTTTTTCACTGTTGACATTGAAAGGTCGCAATTTTATGAACAATTTTTTCATTTGTGGAACTAAAGATGACCCAGGACTACATAAAGGATCAAAACTCGTATAAACTTTCTATTTTAAAGCGGGATTTAAACTTGGGAAAGATTCTGCCCTTCATCAAAAAGTAACCCCAAACCCCCATTGATGTGTGTTACAAGAGTGAGAGCCCCTGAAAAACCCCCAAACCCCTAAATTCCTCATTTTTTTGTTTTATAACCTCAAATCTACTAATCTTGTTTTCTATTTTTAAAAAATCACCCCCCATCAATTTTTCACTTTAAGAAAACAAGGGGAACAATATCCGGTGTTAGGTTTTATATAGGAACTCTGCTTCAACTATTTAACTTGTTGCTCTGCTGAAAAATTTATTACTTGGAGCTCCCAACTTGTGCTCTTCTGGCCTACCTTATTATTGGCGATTACAAGCGAGCAAAAAGCTTTGGAAAACCCACAGTTGGAAACGTTGGAAATTTTAACGTTTGTCACTCTTAAACAGTCAGATAATGTCCAAAAATTGTAGGTGACCTTGAACCCCACACATATTTTTGGGGGCGCCTTGATCTGTGCCTGGGTTTCAACAAATTTGCCAGCTGTAGTTTTCCTTGTAACAATATGGTCTGATCTTTTCCCCTGGGCAAACCCTCACTAGATTTGGAAATACTATCCTTCCTGGGGATATTCAAAGGAAATGTTTTAATGTTCCCATGATCGATGATGACTTTTGTTGCACATGTGACTGACGGGTAAACCCCTATGAGTTTCCTCTGTGAGACCTTAACAATGATCTTGTGAGCAGAAATTCAAATACTTAGAGCCCCCACTAAAACCTCTTGGTATCTAACCCAACAAATTTCCCATAAAACATAAACCTCCTTAAAAAACCCTTTTCATGATTCTAAATTGTACACTAAAAAGACTGCTCGCAGCTAGGCCTGCCTAAGAAAACTCGTACTCCGGGAAATGTGAGGCTCTTCCAAACTGCCCTTTGCTGTGCCAGAAGCATATGATAGAGCTGCGGCAAACAACGGGGAAAAATTTGTCAAGGGTCTTAATGTCCCCCCCATTTGCCGGGCATGGGGGACATAAAGAATTAAGGGTAACAGAACTAGGCGTCACGCCCCTATCCTACATGGGGCGAACGAGTTATCAGTGCGGGTGCTACTCTAGCTTGATAATCTTTCCCAGTCCAAAAGGGAAAATTAAATGAAAAATATGATGCAAGGGAGAGATTGTTTCTTATGCCAGCAAGGGCAGATATTGCAACTTTCCCCTTTCCTAATTTTGAACTTGAGCAGCATAACTAAGGGCAATCCAGTCCCCTGGTGGGTGGTATTACTTAAAACTCTCAATTGCTGTGCGAGTTCCGGTAATCCATTACTTGAATCAAAAAACTAGTTTTGTAAGGGGAGCTCCCTCATCTTGGCCCACAGCCCACATTCCAAATTCCTAGCCCATCAACAAAATGCATTTGCCCAAATACTCTTACTGCGTTTGTGAAAAACTTTTTGAGGAAGTTCTTATCGTTCATGTCAAATCAACAATTTTTTTTCCCCCCCAGACATGGTTTTATGCAGGGAAAGGGGGTGCATCATTGCTACCACCTTTTCACTTGCCATGACAGCCTCACTACCTTCCTTCCTTAAATCCGTTTTCGATGTCCAAACCCACATGTAATCTTTAGTGAACTTGCCAGATGGATGTTGGAGGAGGGCTTCCCCAGGGGTTTAAAAAGGGCTACTGTAAAACAGAAAATCTTCTGTGTTGTTCCAGGGACATAGAAGTGTAACTAA